GCGGCCCCCCCCAGCCGCATCCAGGAGGAGCGCCGCCCGTTACGGCGATAACCGCGCGCGACGGCCGCTCCCCAAACGCAGGCGAGTTCAGCATCCGCCGGGACAGGAGTGAGCGCATCGGCTCCTCCGCCACAGCCACCTGCCTCTTGGAAACACCGGCCCGAGAGCACGTGTTTACTATGAGGGAGAAGGGCTCCCTGCCACGGTATTAGTCATTATTTGCATGATGGCAGCAGCTCACAGAGTAACATATAGGCCTGATTGTTATGGAGCACCCTCCAAAAAACCCGACAAGCAGTGAAAACAGCACTAGATATGCAAACCTTTCCATTGCTTGTCGTGGTGACTGCTCCTTGAGCAGGGCTGCTCCACGCATAACACTAAGCCCCTGAATAAGTGCGTAACGCGTGGAGGCCCAGGACAGAGTAAAAGGAACATGGTCTAATTACAGAGGCATTGCAACGAGCAGTTGCAGCTGTAAGCGAAACTGCTTCAGTGCTCAGCGACCTCCAAAGTCTTCCCGCAATTCCTCCGTCCCTGTTGCACGCTCAGAAAGGCTCACGCGCTGCACATCTGGCATCTGGGTATCGCTGCTCGGGGCCCAGCTCAAGCGCGGGACGTGCCCGCCGGGCGCCGGCATCGCGCTGGGGAGAGCACGGCGCCTCTGCAAGCGCGGCTGTTCCAGCCCGGCCGGGCTGCTGCCCGGGCTCCCCAGCCGGGGCCGTTCCTGCAGCGAGCATCGCCCTGGGCCCATGAGGGAGCAGACCGACATCTCGACCCCGGGTACTGCCGGGAAGGCAACAGCAATTCCCACGGGGCGACGGGCACAGCTGTGAGTTAGAAGGAACGAGAGGGCGATGAGGAGCCATCAGTAGCTCACGAAGGAGACGCAGACACCTGCTCCTGCCAGAACCCGACACTCCCGCACCGGGACAATGAGTTCTGGCATATTGTAAGGGATGGAGTCAGCAAAGTTCATCACGGAAGATAGTATTTACTGCCAGGTATCAGTGTCCCTGATTTAAGAAAAAAGAGAGAACTGAAGATATGCAAGTAATACATACAGTTGCCAAACTCTTAATTAAAAGAAAAGTTACAAATCACTTCCCGCTTACCCTTTAACACAACATTCTGCATTAAGAAAAAAAGAAACCTAGGAAACATATCAAAAGTTAACGTATGTTGGGGTATTATGTACAATTCAAGGAAAACTGCATCACTGAACTTGTCCTTCAGACAACCCAACATTAAAATGTATGGAATTACAAATTACAATTGCACAAACAATTCTGGCAGCACAACATTAAACTACTAAAACAAGCCTTAAACCCAGTTCGCATCAGTACATGTGTAGGAAGACTCAGTTCTGTAATTTCCACACAAACTTTGACTGCCGAGTTAAAGCAATCACAAACAGCACAGCTTTTCCTAAAGGTTACCAAGAAAACAGAACAGACTGCAGAGAACCGGTGTAACAGGCTCTCTACATACAGCATCATCCAATATGCAGAAAGCTATATTTTGCACTAACTTCAGCTTCTGAATACTGTCCTGATATAGATCCCGGACACTGTGTTTATAGCTAACTAACCTCAAGGCAGCAAACACATGAATAATGCAGCATGGTACGCACACAAGAGAAATGGTAGCATTTAGGTGTTGTCTCCATTTTATAGATGAGGAAAACCGCTCTGAGACCAGCCCTCAGCTGTGTTAACAGAGTTTGGACTCGAACACAGGCTCCTCTTCCCTGCAGCTCTGCGAGAAGGTATCCTCAATAATGAATGACAAAGCAAGGGACGCTCGGGCTCTGCTGTTTCCTCATTTCATTACATAAGAAAAAATGAACTTGGCCACGCTAAAAGCTAACAGCGTATAATGCATAAAGAGAAGTATGTTATATGCAAAATATAAACAAGTGATAGAAGTCACTGTAAGGAGATGCTGATATAAACATTTCAGTGGCTGGTTTTTTTTTTTTTTTTTTTTAGAAGCCATTTCTGTGGCTAGAAAAAATCCCCAATTACTCTACCTGGGACACAGCTGCAAGCAGTCAACCTTCTTAGTGTACTACGCCAGTTAATCTGAGAGGTTCAGGAGAAAATTCCTGCTAATGCAGATGGCATTCCTTTTATTTTATTTGTATTTGTACAGCACCAAGCACACCAGCTTCCTAGCCCACAACACCAGCGCAGTACCAATACAGCACAAGCAGAAACTCATCGGTCCCGCTGAGACACAGGACATTTACTGCTGTGTGACCTGTTCCGGCAAGGCTGAAGAACTTCTACAAAGAGGAAGGGGAAGAACGCTGTTTGGGTCAGGCAGCTGCCGAGATGGTTTTAGGTTAAACAACCAGGGCAAATGCACTGGGCCACAGCAACAGTTAAGCAGCAAATGTAATGTATTCAGCCCATGATTGGAGAATGCATCCCTTTCTCTGGCCAGGAACTTCACAAATCAGCTCTTACCCAATCTTTTCATTTCCTTCCTCTCCAACAGTGCAGCATATCTCTAATGCTAGAAATCAGCTAAACAAGTCGCTGAGCTACTGCAAGAACGAAAAAATTCAAAATGCATTCTGCAAATAAAAACCTATATGTGTCTTTTACTCCAGGAGAGGAGTTACACCCACTCTCTAGCCCTTTTCTTGTAGCATGGCTTTAAAGATGAAAAGGCAGCTGCTTGCTATATTCAGTGCTTGATCTTCTTCTGCCTATTTTGAAGAAAAATCAAACCTTTTTATATGCCACTCTCTAGCCTCTTCCAACAACTTTTTAAACTTGTTTTTCAAGGCAAGCTTTCCTGCAGGAAAAAAAATCAGTAAAATAAGCTACCAGGTCTGAAAATATATATTATAAATAAATAAATAAATAAAGTAAAATAAGCACAGTCAATCCTTCATTCCTTCCCCATGTTGGTACAACGCATTCAAAACACTCTGAGATAAATGTGCTTTCATGGTGCTGATCTCCTGTTTGTTGAAGACCCTCAGAAAAATCCCTCACCGTTTTAACAAAGTCAAGCAGATGCTATGCAAAATAAATGTTATGAAGACTTTGCTTCCACAGTTTCCACAGAACATTGCCTAGAGCTGCTCAGATTTAAATAGTTATCATGAAAACAGCCTACGCTGTTTTTATAAAACTGACCAGATAATCCAGGCAGTAACTAACTTGCTGCACCTGACATAATATTTTCCTTATTTTTCAGAGTGGGTAAACAACTCCTACACAAAGCAAAACAAAAAGCCAGAAATTAAGTGCTTAACCATAAATTATTTTCTTCTTGGAAAGCAACTAGCATGGGTTTGTTTTAATCATAAACTAAAGAACTACAGTAATTTGCAAGTTACGCTAAAGCACTGCATTATTTTTAGTTCCACGACAAAAAAATTAAAACCGTGAGCCATCACAATTCATTCATTTACTAAAAGTGCCAAGGCACTTAATTAAATTGCTGTAGTTCAGTATTTTTTCAAGAAACAGAACTTTCAGCATAAGACTAACTTTGAATGTTACGCTGTGCCCTACAACAAGATGTAGAGACTGCTTCATAAATACAATTAAGTCTAGTCAAGGGAAGAAACTTTCTGAGGCTGGAACTTGTTGAATAAAGAGTAAATCTTATTTGTGATATCAGCTCTGCAGCTTGTATGGAAGAAGGAATCCTTTTCCACTTCAAAACCTGCAACATCACCTGGAACTTGCAAGCTTGTTTATTTCACTAATTATTAGTTACTGACCTATTTAGATGGGTATCGCGCCAAGGGCAACCGAGCTGCCGCGGTCTGCTCCAGCGCTCTGCGCACGGCAGCTGTAGAAAAGGGATGTTCCTACACATCCCCCGCTCCCCGCCAGACCGCTCCCATCGAAATCACAGCTTCGCCCTGCCCGTCCTGGCAGCGC